CCTCGGCCTGCAGAAACCCCGGCCTTGCGCAATCCCCCGCAGCCCGCGCCTCCCTGGGCCCCACGCAGTGCACTCACCACCCCTGGGGTTTTTCCCTCTCGTCCCCGCAGGTTCTTGCACTTGGCCATCATTCATGAAGAAAAGGCACTGGCCATGGAAGTGATCCGCCAGGTGAAAGGAGATGTGGCCTTCCTCAACTTCCAGAACAACCTGCAGCAGGTGCGCCGCTTGCCCGGCCCTGTGCTCACTTTGAAGCTGTGATGGAGCCGTGTCTGGCCCAGTCGCCCCCAGGCCCTTTCTGAATGGCTGGTTGCTGGTCATTGTCCACACTGGCCTTTTACATTCAAATCAGCCAACAACCTAGAGAGAAGGAAAATCCCACTGAATTGGTGAGGTCTTTATGACCTACCTGGAGCCTCTGGCATTTGCTGGCCCTCCTTACCTGACTGGAGGAGCAGCACCCACAACCAGGAGATGTCTGGGGTTCAAGGACACTTGGATTATGGGTTTGGTCCCTGGCTTACCTCTTTCTGCCTCGTCTTCTGTTTGTAGACTCCACTCCACTTGGCTGTGATCACCAACCAGCCAGAAATTGCTAAGGCACTTCTGGCAGCTGGCTGTGATCCTGAGCTCCGAGACTTTCGAGGAAATACCCCCCTACACCTTGCCTGTGAGCAGGGATGCCTGGCCAGCGTGGGAGTCCTGACGCAGACCTGCACCACCCAACACCTCCACTCCATCCTGCAGGCCACCAACTACAATGGTATGTCTGCTCGCCCTGCCCGACCCCTTGGAGGGCAGGTGACATGCAGAAGGGGGTGGTGGGCCAGCTTAAGGAGTCCAGGCAAGAGCTTAGATTCCCTTCATCTGGAAGGTTGAGAAAATATGTATGCATGATGCCTGTTGGATGCCTTTATAAAATTCATTCAGAACCTAGATTCAGATTCATTCTGAATTCTTAAAATTCAGAAGACATGACTATTTGTCTCAAAAGAATAGATGAAAGGTTTGGCTGCAGATGTGAAGATTGAAGTGAATGGTTATGCTATTTTCCTCTTGTTCTTCCAGGCCACACGTGTCTGCACTTAGCCTCTATCCATGGCTACCTGGGCATCGTGGAGCTTTTGGTGTCCCTGGGTGCTGATGTCAATGCTCAGGTGAGTACTTCCTGGCTCTAGATGGAGTGAGTCAGGCGCCTTCTGTTCAGTAGCACTTGGCATGTTCTGGTTGCAAGAAGAAATTCCAAACTCAGCCATAAGCATCTCAAATTCTTTTGGGTTTCAGGAGCCCTGTAACGGCCGTACAGCCCTGCACCTTGCTGTGGACCTACAGAATCCTGACCTGGTATCACTCCTGTTGAAGTGTGGGGCTGATGTCAACAGAGTCACCTACCAGGGCTACTCCCCATACCAGCTCACCTGGGGCCGCCCAAGCACCCGGATACAGCAGCAGCTGGGCCAGCTGACTCCAGAAAACCTTCAGATGCTGCCGGAGAGCGAGGATGAGGAGAGCTATGACACAGAGTCAGAGTTCACAGAGGACGAGGTGAGTATTAACCTTGAAGCTCTCACTTAAGTGTGCATACACAGTATCCCAAGAGTGTGTCTTTTTCTTCTTTTTTTAAAAATTACTCTTTTTAAAAGAAGCATTCAAGGAGAACTCCCTCAGCCTGTAAAGTTTATTATATTTGGGTTGTGGAGAATGGAGTCCATGCATGCTTGAGTTCTTTCCAGTAGCTACCTCCCCATCCCCGCAGCAACCTTGGCAGAGCTCTGGAAGGTGAACGTGTCTCTTCTCTTGTTTTCAGCTGCCCTATGATGACTGTGTGTTTGGAGGCCAGCGCCTGACATTATGAGCAGAAAAGGTCTACAAGAACATGGACTTGTATATTTGTACAAAAAGAAAGTTTTATTTTTCTAAAAAAGAAAAAAAGAAGAAAAAATTCATAGGGTATACTTAAATCTACACTGCACGCTGCCTGGCCTGAAACGTTTGACCCGGGTGGATCAGCCCTCACTTTTTTGTATGAACTTTTGTGGGTGGGAGACAAGAAAGATCATTGAGATTCAAAGAGAAACTCTTAAACTACACCTTAGTGGGGTCTTTGGAAAAGGTTATCCAAAACTTGGTGAAAGGACCACTTTTTATTTATTGTGTTTTTGTTTGAACCACTGTAGATATAGTGGCTGGCCCCTGGGTGTGTCCTGTGACACGTTAACAGCCAGGTGTTAAACCTTTCAGTAATGTGGAGTTAAAAGTCCCTAATTGTCAAGGTTTGTGTTACCCTCCTGTGAATAGTGTACATACTGTATTTTGTTGGTAATTATTTTGGTACTTCTAAGATGTATATTTATTAAACAGATTTTTACAAACAGAGTTATCTTGATCATTTTCTTTGAGTTTCTGTGGGACTCCTGAGAATCACCCCATCCTCAGGCAGAGGTGGAAAGCTGGGGGAGCACTTACCACAGCCTGCCAGGGGACTCTTGAGAACAGCTTCTCACATGACACCCAGCCTCCAGCAAAGCTTTGCAGGCAACCCCGGGGTCCAGTGTGTGGGAGGGAGGCTGTTGCAAGAGTGGTAGGAAATGCCAGGCTCAGGTTTGGGGTGGCAGCAAGCTGCTTGGCTGTGATAGAATGCTCTCCGTTGTCATTTTCTGTCATCCCCTTGATTTAAGTTGTTCCAGGACCCTGACTTCCACTCTAGGTAATTGTTTTAACCATGAGGAATATGCTGGTTTCATATTTATAGAGCTGGGAAAGATCTCACCTACAATACATGGGCTCAGAAGTTGGACTGCATCAACATTGTTAGCTGGTGCTCACCTCTGAGCCATAGTTTTTTCAGTTGTTAACTGGGCTGTTGTGAAAATTGCACAAGACAATCCATTTTAAAAAGCATAGCAAAGTGCCAGGCGCATGGTACTAAACATGCTATTACACAACATCCTGTATTTCACATGGGAGAAACAAGTCCAGGATGTCCTGTCCTGGGTCACCTTGCAGGACAGGTAGGTAGATAGTTAACTCATTTAATACATTTGTTTGCAGGTGGTGAAACACCTTAAATGCATTCTAACTCTAAATCTACTTAATTTGTTACTGGCTGAGGTAAAAATTGACAAGACTTAAGGGGTCTTCTCAGTTCAATTGGCCTGCTGATTCTACTGAATGATTCTACAGAAGCAGCTGTCACAAGAAATCAATAACTTGAGAAACCTGGGATTAGATGTGTTCTATCTCAATGGCTTCAGCTCTACAATTCATCTCCTGCCCAGGTAGAAGAGTAAGGTTATGGCATTCTAGAAAATGCAGAGTGGTGTATAAGTGCAATTTGTGTACTTGGCTTATACCTTGGAAAACATTATTGCTTTATCCGTTTCCTGATCCACAAATGACATCCAAGTCAAATGCATATGATGGTCACCTTCCTCTCAGATAAAAAGGAGCCACACTTGGTCTTCTCTGTCTGAAAAGGATTGCAGACTTGTCAAAGCCAGCTCTACCCCATTCTAGCAGCCTCAGTCGGTCTGGAACCAAGCCCTGAAGGCTCTTCTGTCGATCTTGTTCTGTTTGCTGTCAAAGTGTTCCAGGCTTGTCACTGAAATTTCTTGTCCATCACAGAGCACCTGAACACAGCTGTCAAATGATCTGACACATGAATTAGGTCGATTAAGTTCAGCTCTCTCAGCTGATAGTGGAAGAGGCAAGGTGGGAATGGGGGTGATATCCACACCCTGGTGCCCCAAAGAACAAAGGTTGGAAATGTGGCTCCCCAATTTTGGAACGATGCCCTTAGTGTTTCTTACACGGTCAGATGTGACTCTTCTTCCCCCTGTAAAGGTGTTAAGTTTGTGCCAATTCGTCCATAGACTAGTTCTATGCAAAAAGGTTGGAGAAACTGGATGAGGCGTGTGGCCCACTCCTCAGCTTCCCTAGTGACCAGCTTTTGGGTAGAGGCATCACTCTTCCCGGTCATGGCAGGAAGGGGCCTCTTCAGGACTCTCAAGGTCCTGGGCCCAGTTAAGGACTGAGGCCTGCTCGGTTCCTTACTCTTTAGTTCTCCCTATTTCTCATCTCCTTCCTTTTGGTTTCTCTTGATTTTAAGCCATTTTCCTTCTATTGTGCCAGTTGATAGGGTGACTAGAGTATGGAGTTTCCTAAAGGAAATTTTTAGAATGAAAACATTGTGGCGTTGGGTTCGGTGGCTCATGCCTGGAATCCCAGCACTTTGGGAGGTGGAAGCAAGAAGATTGTCTGAGCCCAGGGGTTCAAGACCAGTCTGGTGGGTGTGGTGGCACGCGCCTGTGGTTCCAGCTACTTGGAAGGTTAAGGCAGAAGGATCACCTAAGCCCAGCAGGTCGAGGCTGTGCTGGCCGTGAGCGTGCCACTGCACTCCAGCCTGCTTGAGAGTGAGACTCCAACTCAAAAAGAAAAAAAAAAAAACCTATTAATCTACAGAGAGTCTCCTTCAAATATCTAAGCAAACAAGAACAAAGATTTTGGAAGAAAATTGGCCAGTTGCAGTGGCTCATGCCTGGAATCCCAGCACTCTGAGAGGCCAAGGCAGGAAGATTCCTCGAGTCCAGGAGTTTGAGACTAGCCCGGCAACATAGCAAGACCTTGTCTCTACAAAAAAATAAGAAAATTAGCCGGGTGTGGTGGCATGTTCCTATAGTCCCAGCTACTCGAGAGGCTGAAGTGAAATGATCACCTGAGCCCAGGAGGTCAAAGCTGCGGTGAGCTGTGATCGTGCCACTGCACTCCAGCCTGAAGGACAGAGTGAGACTCTGACTCAAAAAAAAAAAAAAAGAAATTCAGACCAAAAGGCTTTTTTTACACACTTTGATTTTCCCCAAGAAGCTTAAAGTCCTGTCTAGACAGGTAGAAGGAAGGGAGCCTTGGGAAACAGGGAAATGACACGAGGGGAAAATTAAAAATCATGTCAGCAACTTCCTTGAATTTAGTTCCTTGATTCTTTCTGCCTGCCTCATCCGTCAGGATAAGTGTCCTTTATGGGTCACGTGTACCAAGTCCCTCCAGAAGGAAGGGCTTTTTTTTTTTGAGTTGGAGTCTCACTCTGTTGCCCAGACTGGAGTGCAGTGGCC